GAAGAAGCGACGACACTGACGACTGTGAGGAACACCAAGTGACGACGGCGTCGTCTTCGGCGAGTGCCAGCGGGAGAACGAGTTTCGAGCTGCAAGAAATGCAAGAGACCGGCGCCATGGCGGCTAGGTTCCCGCTGGTGCAGCTGGTGGCGTCGTCGCGGTCGGCGTCCCTGGATTTGCCGATGGTCAGCAGTCCAGGGATGATGGGCGCCGGTTCAGTGGCGGCTGCTGCTGCTGCTGGGGATGGCGGTGCTGGCGACGCTGCAGGAGTGTCGCCTGTTGCTTCTCCTGCACCAGGTAAATACAACATCTGCTGCAATACTTTTTTTTAGCTAATAGTTCAGGACTTTTCGTTTGTTTGTTTGTTGCAAACTATGAATTGCTGCCAAATTTTGGCATACTGTATTTCTTATGATTTTTTAATAGTGTCCTTCGTTCGTTTTGAGACCCACGCAAAAGTCCGCCCGATTTTAAAATTTATTTCAGTTGCCCAAGTATGAGTGGTCCAAAACAACTTATCGGAATAAAAATTGAAATCAGCATCAGGGTGATCTGAAAAAACAAGCATTATTCAGAAAAAAAAAACTGTACTCTGAAGCACGACAAAAATGCAGCTCTCAGTTTGACACATTTCGCAGATTTTTTTTTTTAAAGTCACCCTGATGGCAGCTTTTTGCTCTCCACTTAAAATATAAAGCACATATTTTTTTGTGTAGCTCGTATTCTCCTTCAGCATTTCCGAGATTGACATGGCACTAATTCCGAAGGTTGCCTGTAGGTCTTTCAAATATAGTTCCGCCATTTTCATTTAAAATGGCGGCTGTTGATGGAAATATAGCGGAACTAATAATGGAATAATGGCGGCAATCTTTGGTTTAATGGCATGTACATTTTAATAACTGCGGAATGCTGCCATGTAAGACTTTTGCAAAAAAATATCTATCTGCAAAATGTGTCAAACCCCGCTGGATTTTTATTTTGCCGAAAAATGTATTTTTTTCTGAACTATAATAGCTTTTCAGCACAATCCTATGCCGTTCAAATTTTATTCCGAGAACTTCTGTTAGACCCCTCGTACAATATTGTCTACGTCACATAAACAATATCGTAATCTTTCTCCTGAAGTAGTGCTGCAAAATCTTGAAACCAAACAGAACGTTGTTCGGAACAGAGAAAAGGGTCTCGGTGAGCTTTCGAGTATGAAGTCGAATTCGTGCAGCGTCTACTTTCCAGACACTTGGCAGATACAGGAACGTCTGGCCAAACCAGACTCATATTTCACTCTCCAAAGTGCTACCTTAAATCACTGCATGGAATCTACCCTGGAATTTTCGTACAAACAAAAAAAGGTTTCTTTGTGTCTCTTTCTGAGGGATTCAAGTCGAGGCGGCATAAACTAAAACCAGAGCGACAAAATTTTAATCAATTTATCTTTCGCTCATTATGTGCACTTCGTCACTTCGGCGATTTTTGAACTTCTCTTGAGATTAACTATGGACAATTAATGTATATTGAGTTTTTATTTTTATTTTAAAAATTCATTCCTGGCATTTCGCCGAGGATTGTGCCGACGCACCTGCGAAACTGCTATAGTACAGTACTGTACGCGTCTTTCTGTAGTGTTATTAATATTTTTTCTTTAAGAGTAGTCACCTAAAAGAACAAAAAAAAAAAAAGGAGGACAAGACTGATGAACTTTCAAAGCTGGGTGACACCTTTTCCTCGCGTGGATTTATTGCCCAGTATTCCTTTTCCACCCTGTCTCTTGTCGTCTTCTCCAGAGTTCATTAATCCCGGGTCAAAGACAACGAATCTTTTCTAGAGTTTTCGATAATCTTTAGTGTAGAGGAATTCCACCCGGTGATGGTTCTTTTAAAGCATCTTCAATGCGGCTCGATTCACGGTTGAAATTTAAATGCTGAAATAATGAAATTATTGATTTCAACACGAATTACAGGAAAAAATTTTTTTACAGAACCGCGTGCACATGACGGAAAAACTGTACTGAAAGAATAAGCTAAGAATTTGGGTCTGTTTTTTATTGTGATTAGGAGTAATTTCTTGATGAAATTCATTTTTCATTTTTACCACGTTTTTATGAACTCACTTTCTTGTCTGTCTGTCTGT